CTGGCATGTGGTGCTGGGGGATTGAACTGCGGTCCCTGATGCTTTGCCAAGCTTGTTCTAAGTAGGTGCTTTAGACCACTGAGCCATCTCTCCAGCCCCGGTTTTTTATTTTTTGTACCGGGGATTGAACTTAGGACCTTGCACTTGCCAGGCAGGCACTTATGCTACTGAGCTATCTCCCTGGCCCTTCTTTAGATTTTTATTTCTTTTAACTTTCCGCAAAGCTTTATTCCAGAGGGGCGCAGTTCTTCTTTGCAGCTACTGTCCTCATGGCGGCCAGCACATTGCTCAGCTCCTCGTGTTTCCTTTTGGCATGGATGTGTGTCCCCACCCTTTTCTTGATGAACTTGAGGGCGAGTTTGTCCTTGGAGACCTTGAGCAGCTCCATGGCGCACCGCTCATAGGGGGCGAAGCTGCATACTGCCTGGATCATGTCCTACAAGGACGTGGTGTGTTTGGTGATGTGGCCGTGACGGCAGCGGCTGTGCCTTGGTTTGCTCACATTCTTAGTCACCTTGTGGCCCTTGACTATGGGGTAGCAGAGGGCTATGGCTGTTGTTCTTCAGTGGTTGCTGTAATGGTCTTTAGTTTTTTGATCAATGTTTTGTAATTTTCTGTGTTCAAATCTTCCATCTCCTTAGTTAAGTTTATTCCTAAATGTTGTTTTGTTGTTATTTTTAGACATCAAATAACAACATTGCTTCAGATGTGGTTCAGGCTGGCCTGGACTTGCTATGTAATTCAGGCTGGCTCCCAATACTCCTGCCTCAGCCTCCTAAGTGCTTATTCCTAAGTATTTTATTCTTTTTGGTACTATTTTATTTTTGTATTTTTAGGGAAGGGTCTACAGGGTGTGCAGGGTCTCACTACTAGATCAAACTCATAGTGATCTGCCTGTTTACAGCCTCCTAAGAGCTGGGATTACAGGTGTGCGCCACCATGCCCAGTCTCAATTGCCATCTCAGCGTGCTCCAGGGGTGGGGCTGGCACAGCAGGAGCTTTAATCCACTGAGAATCTGTGGGATTTTTATATGTGGCCCTTTAAATTTTGAGATAATTTTCTTTTATTCCTTGTTATGGTTTGTGTCTAGTTGTCCCCCCCACCCCCAAAAGCCTCATACAGTCATTGGGGTAGGCTTCTAGATTTGTGATCAATTCCAGATCCAACACTGGGACTAAGGGTGTGAGTGCTACACCTGCCCTGGGCAGATAGCCTGGAGACAATATAAGGAGGGGAGAGAAGCCTACTAGCTGCTGCAGCTGCTGCTCCTCCCTTTTTGCTCTTGATGTTTTGCTGTTTTCCGCCACCATGAACAGCTTCCCACTGCCAGGTGCTGCTGTGCCGTGGAGCAGGCTGAGTATGGACTGAAACCTGCACTAAATGTGAGCTAAATAAAAACTTCCTTCCTTAATTTTGGGTGTTGGTTATTTTGTCCCAGCAATGAGAGGTAAGTAGCTGAGACATTCTTTATATGTTGAGAGTATTCTATCATTAATTTTATTTATATATTCTTCATTTAGCAGTACTGGGGATAGAAACCAGGGACTTTGCATTCAACTACATCCCCAGCCCTTTTAAAAGACTGTTGGGCTGACGAGACAGCTCAGTGGACTAAGCGCCTGCTTAGGCAAGCGCGGAGACCAGGGATTGATTCCTGGCACCACGTGCCTTGCTGGGCCTGCCCCTGGGTGTGCTGTGCAGGCCACTGAGACCAGGTGTGGTAGCACACACCTGAAATCCCATCCCTAGAGAGGCCAAAACTGGAGGATCGCTATGAATCCGAGCTGCATAGTGAGACCTTATGTCAAATACCTTTAAAAAAAAGATTGTTGTATTTTGAGACAGGGTATTGCTAGGTGACTAAACTGCCTGGGCTGGGCTGGAATTTGTGATTTTCCTGCCTCAGGCTACTACACTGCTGGGATTAGAAGTGTGCACCACTATGTCTAGACATGACTATTAAACTTTGTCAAATATGTTCTGTATCTACAATCTTTTGTTTTTTTGAGATAAGATCTTGCTATGTAATATAGGTTGACCCTGAACTCAGTAGTAGCCTAGGGTGGCCTCAAACTCAGGATCCTTTTGCTTTGGCCTCCCACATGTTGAGATTACAGGCATGGACCACCAGCCTTTTTCTGCATCTGTTGAAACAACTGTGTGTTTTTTATCCTCCGTGTTGTTACTGTGTATCACAGGAATGGCTTTTTATATGTCAAAGCATCTTTGCATCCCAGGGAAAAATCCTTCGTGGTCATGGTCTGTGACGTGCTTTACTTATACCAGTTCTTCAGTCCCCACTTCAGTGATTACAGATAGGACAATGACATCTGTAGCTTTAAAAAGTCTTGCAGGTTGCAGGGATTAGGGCTGAATTTGCCTTCTATATCTTTCCTCCGCCAGAATGTAAATCCCATGAAGACAGATTTTTATGTGTTTGGATGTGGATGCATTTAGTGCCATATTACCAGTTCCTAGAAAAGTGTCTTGTATGTCTTTTAGGTATTTAGTGGCTATTTAGTAAATAGAGACACAAAAGTGTATCTCTGCTTTTGGAAGATATAACAGCGCAGGAGGCAGATGTACAAACTGATGACTATAATCACTCCTAATTAACTGGAATACCCAAAATATCAGCAACCTGTGCCTGAAGCTGGGCAAGGTGGTGCACGCCTGAAATTTGAGCATTCAGGAGGCTGAGGCAAGACGATTGCCACAAATTCCAGGCCAGCCTGAACTGTATAGAAGATCCTGTCTCAACTCCTTCCCAAACCTCAAACACAACCTGTGACCACAGAGATCATGTTTTCTTTTTAATGGACAGATGATGGTAGTTCACAGTACTGTGGGCCCAATTTCCAGAAATTAACAAAGGCATCCCAGTTCTTCTGGGAACTTCTAAGGGAGACTGATACATGCTTAGGACCAGCCACCTGCAGAGAAACCCTAAAACATTGGTTTTCTGTGTGATTGCAGGATCAGCAGCATCAGTTTCACCTGAGAATCAGAACTGTACAGTTTCAAGCCCCACTCCAGCCTACTGAATTGGAAACTCTGGGATAAGGCCCAGAAAGATGCATCTGTACAAGGCTTCTCACACTGAGAACCAGGGTCAGAGGGCATTTTCTTTCTTTTTCTTATTGTGCCCCACGCTCCATTTGTTTTTACTGCTGAAGATGCTGCTGGGTGAGGCTTTTCCTATGGCCACTGTTTATCATAAAATTCGGGGCTGGTGAGATGGCTCAGTGGTCTAAAGCACCTACTTAGAACAAGCTAAGCTAAGCAAAGCACAGAGACCACGGTTCAATCCCCCAGTACCACATGCCAGCCAGCCCCGCCCCCTGGTGGGCTGAGCTGGCCACACACACACACACACACACACACACACAAAATAAATAAACAAATAAATAAAAAATAAAATAAAATAAAATAAAATTCGGATACACGGGAGGGGTGCTAGCTTTGGGTGTCACTCAGATTCCATTACTTGGGGCACCAACATCATGTGCTCAGTATTATAATACAGTGCTTCCTGGCTGGCCCTGAGCTTAACAGTTCCTGCCTCAGCCTCCTGAAAGCTGGGATTACAGGCATGTGCCACCACCCCTGCTACATAGCATCATTTTTACATGCACTATCTGAACTCTGAACTCTGTTTGTAATTCTGCTTCTTTACTTGCAGAAGTTCCAACTCTGAATGGGGGATCAAACACTATTATACCTTCTCCATTTTATGAATCTCTCCAGCTAAAACTATAAAATATTCTTGCTTTCTTCCAGAATTATAGAGGAAAATATTGTGCAGAAGTAGAAGCCCACAGACATTATTGTTAAGCAGCGGGATCTGACTTCCTTTGTTTATCCCTAGCCGGATGGGCTTGGCTCGGCTTCTCTCTTTTCTCACTCAGAACTGAGCTTTCCTTTATTCCTTTACTGTAGTTGGGTAAATCTTAATGCTGTGTTTCCATAATATGCAGCTCATTTGTTCACAGGCACAAGCTTCATATCCTAACCTATATTAACAATTATGGCTAGAATTAGTGTTTCCAAGGGGCCAGGGAGATAGCTCAGTAGAATAAGCACTTGCCTGGCAAGCACAAGGGCCTGAGTTCAATCCCTGGTACCAAAAAAAAAAAAAAAAAAAAAAAAAAAAAAAAAAAGCATCTCCTATGTATGTACTTTCTCCTCTTTTTTATCTGGTAAAAATTCAGATAGAGAAAATGAGCAGTATTTAATGGTACTCCGCGAAGTTCGCAATCCCATGAACAAAATTATTGTAGATGTATATGCTGAAAAAACATTGATATACTAAAACCTGATCATTAGAATTTAAGTCCCAGAGAGGCAGGTTTTCATGTGCTCCTTCTGTTCTCCCTGCTTTGTACTTAGTCCTAGGATAGTGCTTAACACATATATTTGTGGAAAGAATGAATAAGTCATATAAAAATAAATGTCTATTCTTGGGTTTCAATCAGAAATACTAATAAAAAAAAAGAAATACTAATGAGCTTTGGTTTACAAACTGAGATACATTGGTTCATTGAAGACTTTATTTCAACATCTACCTGTAGTTAGCATACCAGAAACTGGGGAGTAAAAGGAGGAATAAGACAGGAATAATTTCTGTCTCCTTAGGAAATACAGCAAATTTAAGAATTAGTACATAACAATTTTATGTTCATTTATGGAATCACAGTAAATGCACAATTTAAGAGCTTCAGAAACTGAATATTACCTGCTCTTTTCCTGGGCATCCATTAAAAAACTGAGCATCAGACACTGGATCGGTGAGATAGGACTGGAGAAGGTTCAGCCGCAGACCCGTGGGAGGCTCATTTGTCATTTTTACCCCATTCTGTAGAATCGTGACTGGGAACTAAGACAAAATAAGTGGGATGTATTATGCAAAATAGCAATTATGGGTCCTAAAAATTTTAAATTCATACTAATGGATTTAAAAGCAGGTATAGTAGAAGGCTCCAGATAGATTTAAGAAATATCTAGGGTAAAGTGTCAAAAACTCAAGACGCACAATTGAACAGACAGCTAAGTAGTGCACTGAACTCTATAAAAACAAAAAACAAAAACACATACTTTTGGAGATGGATAGCTTGTGAGCCAAAGTCTAAAGGATGAGTTACAGATTTCAGGGGAAAAATCTTCGCATATTTTTTCCAACATGGGCATCCAGGAGACAGCGAGGTGACAGTTCTGCAGGCAAACCCAAGTTCCTTCTTCGACTGCTGCTTTGATCATTTTGGTTGCGATTGGCCCTTGTCCCTGTCCCAGTGAAATAGCTTGAAACTTATTTCCAGTCATAGATTTATCATTTGCAAATTTCAGCAGGCCTAAGAGGAGAACAAAAAATGGTCCCACTTCTTACCAAAGATGTCTTATAATTTCTTTTCTTTTTTCTTTTTTTTTGCAGTACTGGGGATTGGACTCAGGACTTTGTGCTTGCCAGACAAGCACTTATTCTACTGAGCTATCTCCCTGGCCCACAACTTCTGTGTTTCATCAGAAAGCATTCTAGGGGCTGGTGAGATGGCTCAGCGGTCTAAAGCACCTACTCAGAACAAGCTTAGCAAAGCACA